ATTATCTGCTCTCAAATCTCACAGTTCTCCTTTGCCCTTGGAAAACTGTTCACATCTTGGAGCACAGAATGTCTGCAGACAAATATCTGTGTATATTTTTGCATCAAATAGAGGCTACTGTTTATTTCTTATACCTGTGTTAAACAAATTGTAATACAACAAACTTAATGTCTAGCTAGACAATATGATACCTGTGATCCAAAAAAAATTTATCATTTACCCAGAAGGTCTCAATGGGATGATGGCTTTTACCACTTGTGGTTAAAATTTTGGCCATTTTACAGCTATCAGTTCATTTCTTTCCGTCAAAGTTTGCAAAACTATTTTCATGGTTAACTTTTTTTTACAACTAGAGGGTAAAGCATGTCAAGTTTTAGGTCTAATAGCCTGATTGTTTTTGCCATTTTTCCGCAAATGATTAACCCCATTGAGGCCCTCTATGAATGACTTCAATTATACTCAACCTTCACATAATTCTGTGTTGTAAAATTATTTGCAACATCTTTCATATATAAAGGATGAAACCATTCATATAGTGAATGGTATAGGCCTAGAGTGAAGTTTGTGCTTTTCCTACTGGCCTTGGAGAATTCACCTGAAAGATAGTGACAGATAAAAATTATTACCAAAGGTCAGTTAGCTTGTGATCAGAGTCCTGTTACTGCTATGGTACAAGCTGCAAAGCAGGAGATTGGCCAGCAAGGGAACCAGCCACAAGAAAAAAAGATATTCTGCAATTGGAATGTTATTGTCTTCCTGTCACAGTGCATTCATTTACCAAAGGAGCATTCTGATTGGTGGAATTGACATATGGTATCCTAAAACAAAAACTGCACTGGCAAGGACCTTTTGTGCAAGTCCCAATAGTTATTCAGGTTTCCCCCAAAAAAGGTACTTTATTTCTTTTTACATGGGTCTATGTTTAAATTTCAAAATTGCATGGCAGCTTTTTAGCATTATCTGACTTGGTTTTATGTTGATTTTTTCAAATTTTACCTCTGTTTAATTGATCGTAAGTGACCTTCTGATTGTTAGAATTTTGGGCTTATACATTTGATGATGAAAAACGTACCTACAAGATCCTTGTGTGGACCATTGTCAACAGAGTTCTAGTTCCATGATACATTTGATCTCCTTCTTTGTCCAACCTTCATGACATTTACTGGTCAGGACTACATACCTGTTCCAGAAAACATTTCAAAAAAAAAAAAAGGGAAAAAGAAAGAGAGGGAGAAATAATCAATATTCCACAGTTAAGGAAGTTAATTTAACAATGATTTGAAACTTGGTACTTAAAGTTAATCTGAAAATAAAATAAATTTCTGGGATTGAAACATTACAAAATTTCCAGGATCAAATAGATTTATTCCACATTAAATAAGTTATGCAACTGGTTCTAGGCATGATTTAACTGTTTTTCAATGACAATGAGTGACCAAGACATAGGTTTTCCCTACAATATCAATACAATATGAAGCAGACAAGTGATGACAATAAAGAAAATTAAGGGATTATTAGTTCAATCAACAACAACTTTTCCAAACTAACATGACAAGAGTTGTATAGGGGCAGTAAGGAGAATTGCTAGTAAGAGCTTGGGAGTAAAAGGGTTAAGTAACGAACACCTCAAAAAGATTGACAACTCCTGTAAGCAAATACTTAGCCAGGCTCCCATGAATTGAAAAATATATACTGTTTTAAGCTTTTATAAAACAGTGACTAACTTATACTTTCTATAGTGTCTGAGACAAGTGTGCCGATTTGACTGCATCTTTTAAACACATTCTAATATTTTCATAGTGCTAAACTGCAGTTTTACAAAGAAATCCTCCAATACTTAGATGAAATAACATCCAGCCAGCATCAGGCAAGATAAAACATCCATGAACTACTTGAAGAAGTTTTGGCTTCTCATCTGATTGGCCAATTAAAACCAATTCACAAAACAGAAAACCAAACTGCACCAGTTAAAATCATAATATCTATCCATTCAGGTCAACTCTCATACCTTGCCCCAGACCTGGACAGTAACTCTGCTCAGATGGTTGGGTCAAAAAACTCAGCTTTAAACATTGGTGCAAAGTCAGCATATTCAAAGTTTGGTGGGTAATTCTGCTTCATAAATTCCACAAAGCTTGGTATCTGTTCTTCTTTCCACCGGTATCAGGATCAGTCAGATCCATAACTTGGTACTGATTATACTCCCCAGTGAATGAATACACCAAACTTAGCCTCGTCGTACCAAGCGGGGAGGGGACGATCGAGAGTCTAATGACCTCCAAGTTGGTTTGTATTGAGCTGAACCGTAATTCAAAGAAATAAGAAGGATACAACAAACAGTAAGACAATGCGTCATGTCTGATTTCAATTCCGTCCAATTTCAGCCTGTTTGGATGCGGAATGTAACACTTTACGCTTCTAGATCTTGAAAGATTTTAAAATCAAATTAACGCGGTCCGAAGCAGCTTCGATTGATTTTTCCCAAGGAATCTGCACAAAGAAGAGACCACCAAAAGGGATTGTACATCTTAGGATTTCCTCCAAATTTAGGCATAAAGAGTAAATAAAAACACTAACGCAAAATAAGGCTTACCAACCACCATCAGAGACGAGCAAGAACAAAATTAATGACCAGGTACATTGAAATTGAACGTTTCCAATGACAATTCCGGTGCAGGTGGTCTCTGTTTCCCGTAGTAGTACATCCTCCTCTGGAGAATTGTCTCCCAAAAACTGGCGAAGCATTCTTCGCTGTTGTGTTCGTTACAAAAGTAAATGGAAACTACGGAATTCTACAAAAGCTTTCCACATCCTTTTACTAGTTTCAAGTCTCCATCCAGCTTGTTCGTAAAGGTCTTCTACCACCTTCAACACTTACCCCACCCCTACGACTAAAGTACATTCTAAAAATGTCAATCAAACGTTGATCAGTGAGCATCAGACTCATAACACGCTGCCAAATGCCGTCGTGGTGGAAAAGGACTCTCTTCAAGCGAATATCGAAATATCTTATACTAAATGGACAAGGATCAATCGGCTTCTATGAAAACTATAAAGTTCCAGGAATTCTGTCTTTAAAGAACACAAAAGAACGGTTGATCGCAACCAAACGTTATTGAAGTTTTGGACTGCTGTAGGTGAGTAGAGTTCATGAGGTAAGCTGAAAAGGTCAAGATCAATTCTGGATCTCGTTTTCTGTACTTATATGTCAAAAGGATTCGATTATTTTTATCATCACTTTATCATCTAGAACTCGGCCGCACAGTGGATTAAACAGTCTTTGCGACGGGAAAACTTTTCTTAAAGACCAACAGGTAAGTTTCCAAACGTGCAATATTGTGTGTGAATTCGTACCAAAAGGAGTTCAAAGCCTTAGTCATTCGTGCTTATTTTTAACTATCAGAAACTTGCTCAGGTGTTGATGTAAATAGTTTTGAGAGAGTGAAAACGCTCTCCATAATATTTTTCAAAGCAGCGGCGGTGGAATTAGGGCACCACGTTGTTGAGTGTAGACGCAGCCTTCATTGAGCGCAAGCACAGCGCAGACACCTCGCCGAAGTTAGTCATTCAACAGTTGTCATTTTTCCACTTAAAAGCCGTCTTATCGCAAGTTTACTTTAGCAAAATAATTTATTACTTTTAGTGTATGAAATGTGTTTGATTTATGGCCCAAAACTCTATTATGATCAAGAATAATTTTCGAGAAGATAACTAACAGAAGTCGTAACTGACGTTTGTATTGATTCAAACTGCTGTATGATTCGAAAGGGTTTTCTGATAAATCTTCTCGAAGTATAAAAAGATCAATTTAAATATTTTTCACTTCAATCAAAGAAACAGCGATTTAATTTGTTGGCTAGAATTTTTAGCCCAATTCTCGCCCATAAGTGCTTTAAAGTTATTTTCCGTACAAATGGCGTCGTTTAACGACCAGTTGCAGCTTTTCCACTGATTAGCTGAGTGCGGATATTTTAAGCATATGTCGCTAAAGGTTGTTTGGTGATCAGAAATCTGTTACGAAAGCTTAAAAATTTTCTCATCCGGAAGATGATTTCTAGAATTTAAAAGGCTAACCAATCGAGAAAGTTTAATACGATTGCCTAAATCCGCGTAAAATATTTAGTCTTCAGTCACATGCAGTTTACATGTAACAAGACTGAAATGGAAATGCATACAACTACTTTGTAAGACTTAAGTTCATGGCTGACCCAACTGCCTTAACAAAAAAATCTGACTTTTATTTTGATTCCAAGAAAGCAATTAAGTTTTCTTAAATCCGTTTTCTTTCTAGGAAGTACTGAAATAATTCCGTAGAATTGTTCGATAAGTTTAAGCTTATAGAATAAAGTACAAAATGTATTTAACGAGTTTATCTAAGTAGTTCCTTTGATCGGATGTAGTAAACGAAAATTCAATTTCCTTGTACCTTCTGCACTGTGCGTTTTGCCGTAAGACAGTGCACTTGGTGTGGCGTCATTCTGAAGGATCGCGGTCACTGATCTTTGGGCGCGTCCTGGGTTGCTCTCGTGTATGTGTTTGGCAAACACCTTACAACCATTTTACAACCGTTAGAGACATATCTTAAATAAGATATAAGAATTTGAAAGGCAAACAATGAACTTTAAATATTTGAGTTATTCAATCTCTTACGATGAAAGGTAGGAAATGAATGATTGTACTCTTCTTTCAAAGTTCTATTTTAACATAAAGAGGTGAAACTTCCCCAGAATTTTATCTGTTGAAAAAATATAACCAGTCACCCTACTCGCCTGAAATGAAAAACTGGTTAATAAGAGATACCGTCTACAAATCTATTGTCAAATGGTTTATCTTGATTTTATGCTTGTACTTTTCAAGGCTAACCAAGACGACTATTGAGACAAGTCGCCCTTAAATACCTCAGAAACAAAGCGACGGTGATGGACTGTTACGAAGATAAGGCGTCAGACGGGACTCACGGTGTGAGTCAAACGGGACTCAAATCGTTTGAAACAGGAAACATGGACGGCAAGGAACAAGCCTCTGCTTCAAGTCAGGAACAGGAAATGACCACTAGCCAAATTAATTTGCGTATTCCCTCAGACTTTTCGCTTAATGAGCCATTAGTTTTTGGATTACTTCCTTTCGAGCAACAGTCTCGATACGCAAGGATATCGCCAGTTTCGTCTACATCAAGAACAACCTCCTCCTGCTACCCTGATGGGCCAATTGGGCCAGTCACTGCCCATAATCTCGAGCCAGAAGCACCTCCGTTTATGGAAATAATGTCGTCACGTTCATGCACTAACCACGACATCTTGAGTAGTCAGCGCTTCCAAAACCAGATTCTCACACCTTATACAAGGTCTTCTTCATTCATGGAAAGACATACTTCTCAAAGTAATCCCTACACTTTCCACGGGAGAGGTAAGAACAGTGAGGTCGTTTGGTGCAGTAGCAAAATGAAAATCCCTCGGTATGTGTTTCATCCGAACGAAGCACTGCGACCACCGCACCAGTTCGTCAATTCAAACAACTCGTTCCACCCTGATGATCCTTTGAACTGCAGTGGTACTAAGAGTTCCGATGGTCCAGAGGAGGCTGAAAGCAGTAGCAACATGCTTCGGTCAGACTTCAGACTGAATAACCAGAGTGAATACGGCAGCCGATTGCAGGAGGAAACTGTTATGAGATGGAATGGAAATTACGCAGCTTTGTTTTTAAACCAGATGGCACATTCAGTGAATAGGAACATCGCTTTTAATAACAACCCCTTCCGTTACATAGCGATGGAGAATCAAGGTGAGGATCGCATGAATAATGATACCCCCCGTGAGGTATCATCGCTAGGAGACGGACAACCACTCCTTCCTACACTGAATACGTGTGGTGTACAGGCCCAGAGGGGAAGCAGTTCAAACGCAGCTCTCAATGGTACCTTCCATAATTTCACTTTACAATGCCCCACCCAAGCTGGTATGTTCACTCAGAACGCCAGTCCCTCCCACGCAGATACTGGAGCGACAAACTTTGCACCGTATCCTTTACCTATTCAGCAATCTGTGCCCTTCTCTCCAATTCTCAAGGCTATGGGTCCAGTCCATTTAGGTGAAGATTCGAGGGAAAGGACCAACGAAGAGGCAATATCACATCCGCCCTTCTCAACAACCAATCGATGTAGTTTTACACCAGTAGGATACGCACTTAATAACGTGCCTCTCTTGAGCTTTCCACGTGGGGCAGGTTACGAGGCCCCCGTTTCGTTTGCTTCTAAAACAATTCCTCTTCTTCATTATCCAGACCCACGAACCATGTTTCGCGAAGCAAACCTATTAACTCTTGACCAACCCCATGAGGGTTATGTCGTTCCTAACGAAACAGTGGGGAGTGGTGCTCTAAAACCCTCCTCCACCCCAGAAGAAACATCTGCCCAAAACGAGACTCTGTCAGAGAAACAAAGTACTATCACAAGTGTTTCTCACAAAAGAAGCCGTCAAACGCGCCAATGTAATATTTGTCTTAAAGTCTGCGCGGGTGCCTCGTCTCTTAAAGTTCATCTTCGCACACATACAGGAGAAAAACCTTTTTCATGCAAGGTCTGCCAAAGGACGTTTGCACAAGCCGGGGGACTGAAATCGCATTTGCGCAGCCACACAGGAGAGCGTCCTTACAAGTGTGATGTCTGCAACAAGTTCTTCACCCATTCCACGGCTGTCAACAATCACAAGCGCACGCACACAGGAGAAAAACCATTTGTGTGCGACCACAAAGGATGCAATAAAAAATTTGCTGATCGATCAACTCTTACAAAGCATAACAGAGTCCATACAGGGGAGAGACCATTCGAATGTCCACATTGCAAAAGGAAATTTACGCAGCTTGGGAATATGAACAAACATTTAAGGTGCAAACACATTGACAAGAAGAAATGAGTAGTTTCGCAGTAATTATAATGCCATCATTACCAAGGCATCTTCTGCATAGCCTTCGGTTCTCAGTGAGTTTAGTGGTTAAAGACTGCTATGTAGGCTATTGTTTCCTTAGTGTCGTAGGTTTTCATTACAGCCTTTCGTTTATCACAATAATTCATTAGGACTCTTGAAAATGGTTCACTACACTTCATGCCCTGACGGTTATGTTTTATGGGGTCACTAGTATAAAACTAATTGCAGGCAAGGCTCTCCTGGTGAAAGGAAGATAATTTGACTGTGAGGCTTTTTAGTCTGACGCTATGATACTAGTCCTTGAATAACAGGCTCGGACATCACTGAAACTAGATAGCAATAATGCCACAAAAAGCCAAGAAAATCTTTGTTGCTAAGATTTCTAATAGTGGATACGTGTGACTGGCACTCTCAAGCTTCAGAATCACTGAGGGGCGTGCTTTTTTTGTGTCAGTGGTCTCGTCTCCAGTAATTTTATCTAACGGGGGGTCACATGAGTGCGAGGTGTGATGTTGGGTCTGTAAAAATCGTCCATCATTCTTTTCTCCGCATTTCACTCTAGCACAAGCATGAAGAAGACTGGGTACGACACTACGGCTGTAGCAGGCGACAGGGAGTCTTAAGAAAATTGAACGGTTCGTTCGAAAATTACCAAGAATCCCTGAGGTGTCTCCCAATGGCTATTTACACGGGCAAAAAAAATCTATTTTGACTCCGAAGATTTAAGTCAAGAGACAAACGACCACACCCTTAGGTTGTCTTGTTCCGTAGTTTAATACACTACACAGTTACAAGTTAGAAATAACACACGTTCTTCACTTGACTCAGTGTAGTCCCGAGACATAGCCACTTTCAAAAAGTGAAAACCATAGTGGATTCAAAATAGTCTTTAATGTTGAGTTTTAGTGTAAGTTATTACAAAAGTTGAGTTTCTATAAAATTTCAGGAGTAGGTAGCTATTACGTAAAAAATCAACTGTAACATTGATGTAATTAGGCATGTTCGCACGAAGTATAAGTAAATAAGTAAAACTAAATAAGTATAAGTTATCTGTGATACTACAATAAAATAGAGGGATCTTAAGTTAAAATTGTAGTTATTTCCTACCCATCCTTACCAGTTGGTTCAACCCTTTTGAATCACGGGAGAAATGAACTAGCCTCAGTAGGATCGGGATAAAAAATCATTAAGGTGCCGTTATCTTGAATTAACACCAAATTATACGAATTAATATTTGAAATCCATGTTTGGAGATCGGAGGAGGGTAACCTTTGAATCTTAGGAGAGCTAAGATAGAACAGGACTCACCGAAATTTTTATAACCAAGAGCCCTGAATGGGTGTAATTGAGATTCGAAATTGCGCTTCTTTCTCTCAATACAATTTCTAAACAAACCTTTCAAGAAAAGACTTCACGTATGAATCAACCATTCTTTGCTTGCTTGTAAATCTCAAATACTGGCGCATCCACATCTACAAGTTGAGTGAGGCTTTATTTTTTCTTCATTGACGGTGGGCTCAATATAGCGGGAAATGGTGGGGTGGGGGTGGGGAAAGGCGCGGCCAAGAACTTTGAGAAACCACTACAAATCGATACAGTAATTGACAGTTGGAAAAAGTTCGACAAGTGAGTGAGGCTGAGTAGGTAACTACTTAGATAAGATTACTTACTATTGGATCTTAGAATGGTCAGAATCAAACAATAACCAGCTGTTATTTTCTGCTTTAAGTATATGATAAACTACTTAAACGTTGAGCCTGGACAGCCCTGATCTGTCGTCATTGAGATCAAACCCTATGCTTATTTTTCTACATACATATTCTATAGAAAAAAACTCACCTTGAATTCGAAAAAGGCTACAATCGCTTTTCAAAACATCCAGTCGCACACCTGGTTAACACTGTCTCTTTGCAATGCGCTCTTATAAAAATAATATCGTCTAATAAAAGCAATTCTGTGGTAATATGCACTTTCTTAATATTTGATACCTTCTTCATTTTTTTTCTAATTCGCCATTACTGGTCACATGACTTTGTCAAGACAGCGCGCGACCCAGAAATCAGGGCACAGTAACCACTGATCTTGATCACAGCACCAGTCCTTGCACGTTTGATTGCCTTTGTTTGTAAATCCTCCCGGCGGACATTATGCATATAAGGACCCCAGTACTGAGAAGTAAAGCACCAACAATTACCACTACTACGTAAACACCACTGTGGAACAGGTGAATTGAGACGAGGGCAGGCTTTTCGATTGGTAATAAATTTGTGGCGTTGATCATAAAACCGAGAGCCCAGCCGAGGGAAAGACGGTTAACCTGTAAGAAAAAACATTCAGTGAAATTGGGGAAATAAAGCTGACTAACCGATACGAGAAATCCTATCTCGGGATTTCAGCTTAAGACAGAGGGCAGGGAAGGAGGGGTTCTTCCCTATGAAAATAAACTAGAGCGACCAGGAACTTTATGATTGTCTTGCATGACAAAAGGGGGTAAAGTAGCTATAAGGGGAAATTAATCCCCACTCCCCCAGTCAGGGGGGGTGGGGGTGAAGTTTTTCCCTAACCATTTCTAATTCAAATTTGCACCACCAAATGACCACTACAACGCCAAAGACAAGATCAGAGGGATGTGTGCAATAAGGACGAAAACCTCTTCTAAAAGGGTATACGAACTAATTTAAAAGGTGAAAAAAAATGATTCTCTTACTCACCGTGCCGACAAATTGCAATTTGGCGGTTGAATTCTCAAAGTGGTATCCACGTGAAAGTATCGTGTAGACGTACTGTGCATCGAAGCAGTAAAACGGCAAGAACTGTGGATACTTAGTGGGGATAGTTTTAATCTACAGAAAAAAAGAGAAGTATCTTATTTTACGGTGTGTAACAGGGTTATGATTTTAGATAGTTGGTCCATCAGTAGTTTGTCTGAAGAGATGATCAACCGGCATGGTCCGTTGGTAAGTGGGTCAGTGGGTATGTCAGTCAGCCCAACGGTTGGTCAGACAGTCAATAGGGCGGTCACTTCTCTCCATGTACGGCTCTAAACATTCTTGATGTTCTTTGCATTTAGATATCACACAAGCACTTTTGACAAAGGTCCATCTTGTTATAAAACTTTTTATAACACCATAACGAATGGCCGATGATCTGCTAAAAGAATGCTACAAAAGTACCAACGGTAGCGTTTGCGTTTTGGTCTCGATCACCTCGTGATATGGTCTGACGTCGTATCGCTTTCTTATTTTAGCAACATAGAACGTTTTTGGATTTCGTGTCGTAAAACTAAGACCATGCTGAGTTATAGAAACGGAAATACACAGCAAAGGAGAATATTATAATGACCTACGGAGGGCCACGAGAACTCAGCCGTGGGAACATATATAACTGATTCCAAGCGCGAGAAAATGCACAGGACCAAGTCGCAGATAGGTGAAAATATGTATCTGATAAATCAAAAAGAAATTTTTTTTTTGGAACTGATGACAATGATAGAGAGCAGTGAAGGAACAGGAATGCAGTCTCTTGAACACTCGCTCAAAAACCGATCTTCTGCCCTATCTGTTGCTGTCAGATCTCCCAATTCCTGTCTGCTGTAGAGGTGCCTGCTCCTCTGAAAATGCTTTTCTAAAACGTTTATATACCACAGCGCTGTAAAGTGAAACATGAAAAGACCTACCTCATCCCAAGATTTCCCACAGACATTCTTTGCGGAGGCTTGTAGCTGATCAAGTGACGCGTTGCTTGTGAGATTAAGATCTTTAGTAACAGTGTAATAACCAGAAAATGCCTAAAAAATTATCAGGAAAATAACTTATCCAGGGCATTTGATTCAAAATACTGAAAAGGTAAATGTTTACCAATATCAAAACAAACATAATCGTTATTGTTCAACTTGAACTTAAGTCACTTACACGCTAATGATTACTTTCATAAATAGGACACACGATGAGTACTTTCCTCTACAGTAAGAATTACAAATTTTTTTCATTATGTGGCTCACTTTGGAAGCGGGTAAGATGAATCGAATAGCGCGTTCTGATTGGCTACCCGAAACAGAAAGATGAAAGGAATACCTCGTCCTGATTGGCCACTCAAGTTAGCGAGAAAGGGTACACCACGTCCGCATTGGCTAACCAAGCCCACAAGATGACGCGAATACCGTGTTCTTAATGGCTACCTGAGCCGGCAAGAAGAAGTATACACCACATCTGCATGGGCTACCCAAGCAAGCAATATGAAGTGGTTCCGTTTTCTGATTAGCTTCTCGAGCTAGCAAGATGAATGTAAGACCGTGTTTGGCTACCCGGACAGAGACGCAAAATGGAGCATCCGAAGTTATATCAAAAAGGGAGTCCAGCAAATAAAACCACGAGTGTCTTGAACGTTATGAAATACATCCTTATATGATCACGCCTGTCCAGCCATAAAAACGCATTATGCATGAGGTCAATATGCATTATTGACCTCATGCTAGGTCAATAATGCATATATATTAGCCTCACAATCAGTAACGTACGAAGAGTGACAACATTGTACGATCCATAAAGAAAACACCATACGCAGCGCCCAGCGCAAGAAATCTCAGAGGAGCAAAGAAATGTCTGAATTCTCCATTAGTTAGCATAAGAAATAACCAATAAATATTCAATGGTAAGCACTCCCAAACTTCCTTTGTTAGTGTGTTAGTTCGTATGCAGTAAAAAAGTGGAAATAGTTGACAATTTTTACCCATTTTTAATGCTCCTTCTTCAACGATTTTTGGGGAAAGTAAAGGCTGTTTGCATTGGAGTTTAAGTGAATATTTTACTTACAAAAAATTGTTTTCCATCCGTGGTTGGTTGATAAACACTATCAAATGAACAGCTGCTGTTGCCCTGACATGATGTAAAGTTGAAAAGTTTACTGACTTCTTTGGAACAAAGGGAGTAGTTCCCAGTTCCCATCAGAGTAAATGTAGTCTGGTTGGAGGTAAGTCCTTTCACACAAGGAGAACTCCTCAGATACGTGGATGTTATGTTCTGCATGTAGCCTTTGGGTCCACATGGGTTGTAAACTTTTGCAGTTGAGTTAGATTCCTTTCGACAAAAATGAGGAAACATGAGGCATTTGGAAATGGTAACTGCAAATCAAATACAGTACCACCGAAGGTGAGGGAAATTTTTCCAACTGAGGAAACTCTACAAATCTTTGGGTGGGTGCTGATGGGACCCTTAGGAACCTGTTTTAAGTCTATGATAGAGCCCCTTCAGATTTAAGTTGGAGCCCTACCCTACCTGGGTAAAAAAATTTATATATTCTTTATCTAGGAAAAAAATCTCAAGGAAATGTTTTCCTCAAAACATGAGAAAACCCTTTGTCTCGCTTATAGCTGCAGATAGGAGTAACCCCTTGGAACTTAATCTCACTTTAACTGTACTTACTTTAACAAGTTGTGCATAAAATCTTCTCTCTGCCTCTTTTTTGCCATAACATAGGTAGCTGTGTGTATACAGCTGATACTTTGTCCCATACAATTTTAATTTACTAGAATGTTGAGCTGCTTTGGAGGAAGTAAATGTTATTTGTGTAGATGCACCTCCCATGTCCAAAGCTCCTATTGTTTCCTGTGAGTAATGGACAACATTTTGAATAATAAATTTACAAATAAATTTACATCATTACAGATGTGATTGGTAAAGCAGTGGCCTAACAATTAGTCCCTTAACCCTTTAACTCCCATGAGTGACCTAGACAGAATTTCTCCTTACAATATCTGTACAATATTAAAAAGATAAGCGACGAGAATAAAGAAAAATATCAATTTGAGTATAATTAGATGATCCAATACTAAATTCTCTAAACTAACATTATAAGAATTGCATGGTTGACAGTAAAGAGAATAACAAATTTGATCTGGGAGTTAAAGGGTTAAATCCTGAGTATGAGATCCCAAGTGGAGCACCAAACAGGTCATTGTGTATAGTCTGCTTTAGCTTGCTGTCTTTATTTAACTTGATCTAAAGCTTAAGGAGGCAGGAAACAGTTTTTCAAGATATCTACCATCTAATTCTCTCTACTTGAAATACAACATATATACAACAATACAACTTTTTCTGACATTGAGACAATGTGAGTCGCATGAAGACACTGAGAAGTTGTATCTGGGATAAGCACCAACAGCTATGGCATACTGTACTTAACAATTGATAGAGTATTAGTAATATATTGACAATTGAATCATTAACAATCATTATGATTATTGATACATATTAAGTGAATACAAATAACAAAGAGATATATCTAACCAGCTCTGTAATATGCAAATTCTTAACTTCATTATTCACCACACACCTGTGAAGTATTAAAGTTACCATTTAAGTAGTTGACAGTAACCCAGGAAGATAGTCCTTCTTCTTCACCACTGATGATACGGGCATAGTCATCTTCAAACATGAAGGGTGAGCTCTTCAATGTTTTTCGTACAGATGCAAGGATACTACTTGCTGCTGCGGGATTCATCTCCCTGAAAATGTGGCAGTTACATAATGTGTTTGATTCAGTGTGAGTACTCCGTTTATAGTGGTTAAAGTGTTTGAAAAAAGACTGGGACATATCCACTTTGAAATCTACTTCTTGGTTTGAATTACCTCCTCCAATCAATGATGACACCCACAACAGCCAATTTGCTAATGCCTCTTATTTTCCTAAATTTCCTCTTCAACTTCTCAGACACATAACCATGAGTGAAACAGGTTGGAAGAGGATTACAACAATTGTACTACATCCTTTTTTATTTTTTGGGCTAAAAACTCAGAGTTGTACAATAAGATTTACCATGTAAGCAATAGTTAATGGAAAAAATTATCTAAGAACTGTGAGTATATACAGCTGGGTCAGTTACAGTCAAACCTTCATTGAGCAAACACCCACAGCAAATAATGGGGTGACTGCTCAATACAATTTGATTGCTAATTACAGGTTCCACAGAATAGGGGTCATACACATGGAATAAATTTTTTACGTAAGAAATTATGCTTAGTTTTGTTTGAGTGGTTCAGCATTTCGTGAATGTTCATTACATGTGGAAGACAATAAAAACAGGCCATTGGGATGAAGTCAAGGGGGATCACCAAGGCTTAATAGAGGTGACCACTTAACCCTTTAACTCCCAGAGGTGATTCACATGTAACTTCTCCCTACAATATCCATCCACTGTCCAACAAACAGGTAATGAGAGTACTCAAATGTATCAGGTAGGAGTTGTTATCTTGATCTAACAACAAATTCTTGCAACTAATTTACAAGGAGTGTGTAGCAGCTAGAGGGGAGAATTAACAGTCAGATCCTGGAAGTCAAAGAGTTAATAGCTCTAGGTAAAAATTACTGACAATAATTAAGGGGAGGAAATTGCAGGACTTTGAAAACTGACTGCTTAAAATGGAGTGACCACTTGATATGGAGTTGCTTAATAAAGCTTCCCCTGTTTTATAATCTATTGATCATGTAAAGAATGTTTGAGCCCTTACTTAAGCAACCTCATGCCTGCAGTAGCTCCAAGGTAGATTGGTGACCTTTTTCGTAGGTAGGAAGGTATCAACTTCTTTGCTGTGTTTTTTATACAACCCTGTAGTGACTGTCCAGCTTCAGCAGGATCTGATACATAACTTGATATTCCTGCCACATGATTATCTACAAAAGAAGGGAGCAGGAAATCATAGTGAACTTCAACCAACAGGAGTACACAATAACGATGACTTTTAATCCTTTAATTCCCAGATCAAATTTTTAATTCTCCCAACAGTCAACCATAGAATTCTTATAATGTTAGTTCAGAGAACTTGGTATTGGATCAACTCATTATCCCTCAATTCATATTTTTCTTTATTCTCATCACTTATCTGGTTGATATGGTATTGATATTGTAAAGAGAAATTCTGTCTTGATCACTCATGGGAGTTAAAGGGATAATATCTGTTAAAGCAACAGTCTGGACAAAGAATAATTCTTAACAATAAATTACTAGCTTGGTAATCCTTATACTTAACATATTATACTAACTTCTTTTCAGAGTAGCAAGCTGTAGAAAAGCAATGAACTCAGTATATAGCAGAGCATATCATTCATTGATTATCTGACAATGCTCTCCTATGTATACTTAAAAAAAAAAAACTATTTGCCTGAATGCTCTAAATTGCCTGAATTTTTTTAATAAGTCAATAGGCATTTCATGCAAGGGGCTTTAATACATATGCACAATACGTATTAATCTCCTACTCTTGAATTTATTTAAAAAACATTTTGTTTCCAGTAATAAGTGCTTTCATATTTACCTTTATCCTTAACAACACACTCTCCAATCTCCTCCACAAGTGCTGTGCCTTTCACAACATCATCAACTGTCCATTTGTAAACAAACATATTGGTATGTGTTGATCCTGCATCCAGTACAATGCCATACTAAAATCAAAAGAAATTATTTATAAAAATTGAATTCATCAAACCTGCCAAAGGATTTCATTAACACTTGTTGTAGAAAGGCATGTATCAAACAAACTTTAGTTCTCTTTACCTCATTTTTGACCTTTGCCTTGTACACACTAATTACTGAAATACAACTGATTCCAAAGATGATCAGGAATGTTGCCACAATACAGCCAACCCAGTCTCGCACATGGCACACAGAACTCCTGACTGATGAAACATAGATAATATAAATCATGAAATCATCATCACCAGGGTATGACAGGGTTAGGATAAATCTGTCTTCCTTAATTTAATCATATCAGTTTTATAAAGGTGAATACCATAAAACTGTGTTTCCTACAAAGTGTAAAACAATGAGAAACCTTGTGGTATTTTACTATTATCCAATTATCTTACAGGATTTAGGAATCGAAATCTAACAGAGGTACTTCACTTTTTTTGCCATTTTGTGTTGAATAATATCTAGCAAAATACTTATTTTGCCTAAGTTCTGGACTAGTTAATTTAACAACAATCTTAACTTTGAATACCTGCTTCCAAGAAATGCTTTTATGATTGAAAAAAAATTGGTATAAATTATCTTTATTCTTTCGCAATCCAATGACTTGAATGTTTGGTGACATCATATAAATAATTAACAATCAAAAATTACTCAGGTTACTAAAACATAAAAAATATACAATAATCACAGCGATGTACTGTATTAAAACTCAACGGTAACAGATGCAAGATGACAAAGCTATAAAATCAGTTCTGATAGTAAATACCACCTCAGGTGACACTTGAAAATAAAAGGCAAATCAACTGACCTGAGAATGTAAATTGGCCACTGTAAATAGTTTTAAAGTTCGCATTTTGTGTGTTAGCCCTTTGTCAAAGCAAATGAATGAATGAATAACAGCAAGGAGGGCTAACGCTCAAAACGTCAGCTTTGAAACTCTTTACAGTGGCCAATTTATGTTATCAACTCAGTTGATAATACAAAATTACCCTGTTATACTCTCCCACTGATGCAACACCACAGTTTCTTTAGAAACTTTCCCCCTTTACTCACAAGAAAAATTAAGTCTAATCTATCAAGTAACATGTGGGAAAAACATCTCTCTTTCTGAAAATCTTTACATTATCATGGTCATCTTATTACCTATGTGTAAGCGATAACACCTCTTTGGCTTGCATTACTTTACAATAATATGGCCGAGATTATCGAGCTAAGGGAACTGATAATTTCTCACAGAGAATTAGCAGTTTCATACCTGTAAGGTTTGCTTCAAGGTTTGAGCCTAAAAGATTAGACTGTCTTATATTAGTGACTGCATACTAAGAGAAACTATTAAATAAATGCTGCACTGTTAGCCTTAATTAGCTTTTATAATTAACTCAACATTGACTTTGGTCTCTTTGAGATGCATAGGCATGATGCCCTAAATTATAGTGATGCAGTGTGTTCATTTAATACAACCCTCTGAAAAGGGCATGTTAAGATGGCTTCATGCATTTAGCTACTAATTTAATATCTGGTTGTCAAAAAATTAGATTGACAGATTAAATACCAATTAAGCAAGACTAATGGAATAATAAATACTGCACTGGTTGCTGCGCCGGTTGAAATTTCAAGAAAAATAAATAATATTATCAAACTTCGCTTTCTATTTGGACGCATTGACTGCTATAAATTATAGCATTAATTAAAAAAATTACTTTACAGAATACAAACCATGAAAAAGAACTTTTTAGTCGCAATTCAATTTTGACTGAGTCTTGGTAAAATTTTAAGTTAATCAGGTTAGTGCAACTCAATAAAGCTCATCGTGATTGCAAAAATAAGAGAGAGAGAAAACCATACTTTCAGTCCTCTGAATGAGCGGTGAATTATCCTCCTCGTCTGTTGACAACATCTAGACGAATAAAAGCTGTTCCAAAAAGTATTTTACTAATACTTAGTGGACCAGCGTACGTGAGAAGATAAGGAAACGAGAAACTGACATGAAATAAAGGAAGTAACAGTAAAATGTGACAGGCGTTACACGTTGAAACGTCAGAAGTGGTTCCCAGTTTCCTTGCGAGGGATCCTACAAGCTGTTCTCAGAGATAGTTCCTGCAAAATTCCTGCCCTCTCAGTGGCTGGTAGCACGTCAAATAATCCTAAACAGGGAAGCGAACTGAATCACACGTGGAAAATTTCCACAATCGTCTTCGTTGAAAGACATCTCATTCAGTCTCAGTATTCTTTGCCAGTGAAGACTATAAATTAGACCATTGAGTCAAAAGGCGGAAATGTGTCTGAAGGCTTCGCCCCATTGCAAGTTTGCCACCTACCACCTTCACGAGTTCGCCCCCCGCAGTAAAACAGGTTCGCCTCCACTTTTGCCTGTTCGCATCCAAAATCTTTCAGCGCACGCGAAAAACCAAATGCGCTTGCATGACGTGACGCAAAGACTGTGCACACCGAATTTCAAGAATCGCTCTTGATAGCAGTTTGAGATTTCAGAAACTAAACTAACAACATTTACAATATAGAGTACTGTCCTTACTTTACCGGGAAATGATATCCTTAAAAGTCAAAGCTTGAAGCGTGCACATTCTCCTTCATGGCAATGAGGGCAGTTTTTCTCGCGCGCTCTTGCTTGAAGTTTTAACTTCAAGCACGAGCGCGCGAGAAAAAAAGTCCTTTTGATGATACACATGCATTCGATTGAAACGTCAACGTCTTGTTCGTTTCAGTTGAGATTTTGCCTGGGTTTGCAGATAGAGAGGTAGAGTTTTAACAGAATTGAAATGCGAATCGTTTTCATTTGGAGCGAGCTTTTATGCCTTGTTCTGTTTGCTTCTTTCCCTGGAGGGTCGGGTGAGTAAAGTTTTCCCTTTTCTCTTACTGTTAAGTTCTGAAATGAAAGAAAAACTGAACCAGCCTTCGAATTAGATAAGTCAAGTCAGTAGTCAATAAGAGAACTAACAATCTCTATTTATTATCACATCAGTTTTGAAATCTTTTTTAACAATCATGTTAATCACTAATTTTCGCTGAAAAAATACTGTGACTGGTAGTGTTAGAGGTTTTTGCCCCCTTCCCAAGTTTGACCTCCACCCACTCTATTTCTTTCTCCTAAGGAATTCAAGAACATCCAGGAGGATTTGGAGGACTCATGATGGAGAGCCTGATCCAACTCTTCTGGATATCTTTGGTGGGTTTATTAATTTGGCTATTATGAAAAAAAAGTTTTTAGATAGGTCAAAACACAATTCAAAAACGATTTTCTTGGTTTTGATTGTTCCAATGTGAAACTCTTGTTTACAATGGAGCTGCTATGCGACCTGACGGGAATTCATGCGTCAACAGCATCAGAATTTTCGCCACATCCAATAACTACATGTGAACGACAGGAAACTTGCTAAAGGAACGGAATTTCTCTCAAGCCTCATTATTTAGTCATCTACCAAAGCAAATAAAGTTCTTCCCTAACGAGTTTAAATTTCCCGGCTCGCTGCGAAAAACTTGTTTGTCAGTTATTGGATGGGGTAACTCAGTTATAACAACCTATAAAAAAAAGTCAAGAGAAAACTGAATTTGTCGACGAATATGGAAGCCTGGTGGTACAATTCCTTGATATAAAAAAAAAAACGTTACCGAAATCCATGTCGACTTTTTCTTTTTATTCTATGCAGAGAAGTACGTATTTGTGGCTCACAGATCAAACAAGTGATGTATATGATCTGATTGACTGGGCTTTTGACTGCATCTTGGACGAGGAAATCAGTGGAATACAAGGTTGGTGCAATACGGGAAGACTCTTGGGGCTTAAGGAAGCACAGGCATCGTCGGCAAGAAAGTTCGAATGTCACAAAACCTCCTCTGTTATAAATATTTGTTAAACTTGGGGCGATGATACCAAGGCTAGAATGTAATGATGACAATAATGTTCAACATAATGATGATGATGACGTCATAATGGAGGTCGTGTTGATGTTGACGGTGATACAAATACTTAACCTGTCATTTGATCCATCAACAGGTTTGAAACGGGAGGAACTGCGTCAACAGCGCTCTAACACAATTAGTAATATTTTGGTGATAATTTTGATGTCAGCTGTAAGTCTGAAGATGTTCCGAAGCTCTATCAAGAAAAGCTTCTATGAGTAAGTGCACCGGCAGATAACAGAAGTTGTAGAAGGCGTTGCCCCAATTTACACACCATTTGTCCTTTATCCAGTTCTCACCGTTTTAACTTGTCCCCTGTAATAGAAGATGCCCACTAGATTCGCATTAAGGGAACCGAATTCGCTCCCAATACGAAACATATGTTCTAACTTTTAATTTCAGTAGCGATCTGAGTTGGCAAGTCGGTGCGGACTCAGATGTTGACGGTGAGAAACTTCAAGAGCTAGTAGCATAAGAGGAAATATTACAGCCGCTTTGCAAATGACGTTTAGGTTTGACAAAAAAAAAATCAAAATTAAACAAGGCCGAGTAGTTTTTATTGTGCAATACCTCTTTCAACAGTCTTCTGTCATCTTCAGTTGCAACAAAAACTTTAGTAAGGGAAAATCAACCAGAGGATGCGAGTAAGACGAAATTATGGAACATTATTCCGTAATCTGATTGGAAATTTGTTTCAGATCAGACGAAAATTTGCAACTGGTGAAGAAGTAAAGATGTCGAAATTTCTCTCACGTATTAAAAATGTTTTTTTGTAATTCCTTTTCTTTGGTTTCTAGTCTGAACACGAATCAGAATTTAAAAGTTGGAGATGGAATAAGATCTTTTACAAATTTCTGCTTGCTTTTCAATTTAATCGCAACTATTTGAACATTAGATCGGCCAAAAAAATTGAACACTTGGAGACTGATTATCGCTTAACTTCTGTTATTTTGAGGATAAAATGGAAGGCTAAAAAAAGTTCAAAGTGTGAGTAATTTTATTGATCAAGCATTTTCTCTTTTCGTCAGTGAGCTAAAACTGCGTAAAGGAAAATTACAAAAGGCAGATTTCTTGAGAGTTGGACGAAAAAATTTCAAGGGGAATTTAAACACAAGCAGCCACAACAATGGTGCGAGAAGAAGCGGTGTGAAAACAAAACATCGTTAACCTTTATTTACAGTGCAGGTCATTTTGATCTTTTTTTTTTTTACATATTTCCATACTTAAGAGGGACATGTACTTGTAATGTATCAGTGTGGTATGTCAAGTACAATGAAATAAAACAATTTTGCCTTTGAAGTTTAGATCCGCTCCGTAAACTAACCATTAGATTACGAGCTAGAAATTTCTATCGCATAAATCTAGTAGTGTTCTATCTCAAATGCTGCAATCTGATTCACAACGCCAAGCACTATCTATTTCATAATAGACAGTAAGTAAGAATTCTAACAGTGTGCGGTTAAAAAAAAGCAAAAATATGAACCTGTCTTGTTAAGTTTTCAAAACCTAGTAGATTCGTACTATAAAGTGGATTATTTTCAATATAAATTTTAAATCTCTATTATTTTAAATGTAAATTGATTACTCATTTAAAACTTATAAGTGAGAATGGCTTATATTTCCAGTTTAATTGGTTTTTGCAAAAACATTGTCAGGCCACTCACTTAATCCTCTATCTAACACTGAATGGTTGCAAAAACAGCTTAGCCAATCAGATTGCAGCATTTATGATAGGACACCAGTATATCTATATCAAAGTACGTTGATTGCTCAGTATATCAGTTAATCAATTATTGATTTAAGGTTTAATATCATGACTTCCCAAAGCTCAATTCTTTAATCAGGATCTAACTGAGAAAACTCAAGAAATCCTTTTTTCTAATACCACTTTGAAAGCTTTCACCTATTTTCCAATAAGTTCAGAATGTCAGCCTACACGACCAAACTATGGATGACATTCCATGTCTAACACAACAGAAAATGAAAAATGAAAAACTTGTAAAACCATGAATATTTAACATCAATACCACCTTGAAAGCTTTCACCTATTTTCCAATAAGTTCAGAATGTCAGCCTACACGACCAAACTATGGATGACATTCCATGTCTAACACAACAGAAAATGACAAATGAAAAACTTGTAAAACCATGAATATTCAACATCAAAACATTTGCATAGTAGCCCCAACACATGTAATTTTGAATTAAACTATCAAGTTATGACAAAACGAACATGCCACCCTTAGCTAACTAGAGTAAAAGTTTATAATAAAGTTTGGACTATAATGCCAGATTTCAGTCAAAGTTCAGTTCACAGCCTCATTTTCATCACTAGGAAGATTGCACCAATTCACAGGTCTCTTCCCAGATTTCTTCAAATATGCATTGGCTTGAGAGAAGTGTTTACAACCCAAGAATCCACGGTGGGCTGACAAAGGTGAAGGGTGAACAGCTTTCAACACATGATGCTTCTTCTGCAAGATAATCAGTGAAAAGGAAAACAACTAAGAAGCCATGAGATTGAAAACAGTCCTTTTTAAATACATTTTCATTTGCATTCTTTTTAGGAAGCTTGATGATGACACTCTATTCGAAATGGGTTTCAAATAGACTGTTCATCAGGTGTCTGAACATGAATCAAATCCACATTAACCCTATGACCCCTATGATTGACCAGCATCTAATTTCTCATTACAATACCAACCCTAAATCACACAGTCATAAAGGTCATAAGAATAATGGAAAAGATCTCCAACTAAAGGAGCTCCTGATTGTTAAACAAATTCTCCTTGTAAGTACAACAAGAAATGGAGAGAGAACAGAGTGGAGATTTTATAACTACTTATTTTAGGGTGTAAAGGGTTACTTTCGAAGTACTTATTCCATTGCCAGGAAGATGATTAATAGTGACAATGGACTTGAAATAGATTTTGAATTGACTGCCCGTATATACATGTACAATGTATTTGAAAATATCTCCAGTCTGTAAACCTTTCAGGTATTCTTCTAAAATTCAAATCAAATTCAAATAAAGTAGTACTTCTACTTACCGGACAAGCTGGAAAATGATGAAAATTTAAGCCTTATATAAATAGGAGTGACCACAAAAATTTCTCCCAACCATATCATACCATAAGTGATATGAACAGAAGAAAATATTGTTATTTGCAAGAACCTATGAAATTGTACCTTGTCGATGAAGCTGCCTTTCTTCTGAGCATATGAGCCCCAAAGTAGGAAAACAACACCATGAAGATTTGTATTAATCCACCTTATTACAGCATCAGTAAATTTCTCCCATCCCTGTAAAGATCAAAGTATGATTAGATCCGGGCCAATGACTATGTTATGTTAACCAATAAAGGCTTGTGTGGTGACTGAAGTGATTGAAATAATATTAAGGAGGTAACAGCCTCCAACAGTAAAAGAAAGGAGTGAGAAACAGTGTAAATGACATGCAAATGAGAGTTTTCAATCTTTCAGGAAGTATCCCACCTATCTACACTCAAACTTGTGCAGGGTCAACGGAAACCTTACAGGGTGAGGGTGAAGAGAAATTCAGCCCATCCTACCAGAGCTTATCCCAGTTTCAGCAGCAAGAAGGAATTAGGGGTATTGCTCCCCCCCCTCCCCCCCAAGGATAGAATTTCATTCTTTTACAGGGTAATGCCTTGGCTTTTTGTCAAGTTTCTCTGACAGTTTGCTAAATCCACTTATCAACACTTTGGGGTGGAGAGAGACACTTTGTAAATGGCGAGAAGGGGGGGGGAGAGTTAAATAAAGAAAAGTTTTAAGCGAAGCTTGAAGTTAGGATGGGATTTTTTTGTTTAGATTGATGGGTTGGGCTACCACTATTGGACTATATTAATTAATATAGATTCCTGATTAATGTGGTCCTATAACTCAATAAAGATATGTGTCATATCAAATAATAAATTTAAGGAAGGTATTTCATATAATGACCTTATCTTTATGAGAGTTTGCCTGTGAAGCAACAACTGTCAAACAAGCATTTAGGAGCAGTACACCTATTGATAAAGAAGAGAAAGACACATGATAAATACTATCAATAAGATTGTTTATCTCAACAAGACTCTTACATGCACATGGTGTAATGGCTCATAACCCATGATGGCTAAGCCAATGAAAACTATTGCATGATCCAGTCTGTACTAATACTAAGGTATTAGTAGAGGTCTTTCTGTGTTCTAGCAAAAATACTGGTATCTGATTGGCTCTGCCCCTTGCTTTCTATTTTGTGATAGATGATGAGTGACCTGGCAATGTGCAATTGTAAAAAATTACACAAGCCTGTCTTGTTAAGCCTTGTACAAAAGGTAGATTTTGTACAAAAACAATTCAATTATTTGCTCTTGATAACTATGCAAAATGGTAGATTCATCAAAATCTCATTGAAGAAATCTTGAGATAAGAATCTAATTGTTGAATATAAACATCATTGTCCAATCCTGTCTCACCAACATTAATTCTCTGTGGCTCAGTTGATGAGCATCTTATCAAGAGATCAGAACTGGCTGAGTTTAAAATGGCATCATGGGGAGACACAGGTCTTTCTCTATGCCATGTTTGTATGTTCATAAAATTAATACACTTTTTATGAGCCAAACTCAACTCACCTTGTTTTGCCCAACCCAATAGATATCCATGTTTAGGTGGTTCAAAACCCTCAATATCATTTTGCAACTCTTTGTATATATTTACCAGACTGTTGAATATAAAGGAAAAGGATATTACCTGTGATCTACATGGTCAAGTCTAAAATAAGTAATTTCTGCTTAAATATCAATTTTTCCCACCCACCTTGGTGGTATACCAACTCCAGGAGGAACACTGAAGCAAAGTCCTGAAAAAGGAGTCATTTTCAAGACCATTAAGGTAATTGTGGACAGACATCAATGACTAATAGTAAATCTTAATGGGCAGAAAATCATTCAACAGGTTATTTGAAACTTACCATGTGCCTGCCTTGGTCCATGATAAGGGTCCTGACCAATAATCACAACCTTAACCTGATGTACAAGAATATCACTGACTTAAGGATTTCAAAACAAGCCAGTGACCGCTGTAGTTCTGCTGGCTATTTGATAATGTGTCGCTGGTTACTACTGTCAAAATAGTTACCTTTTGATCATTTTTCACTGTCACCTACTTTTGCCAAATTTGATGCCTACATCAAAATATTTTGAAACCCCCGCTGAATTGTTTCAGGGACACTGCCAAGGGGGTTTGGGTATGAATGTGATCCTTTCTTTTTAATAAAATAGTAGCATAACTCGGCTTGTCCCCCAAATACTAATAAGTAACAGTAACTTGTAACTGTAACTGCCTAAATATGGGGACAGGATGCTAAGATGCGTTTTTTCCACAGTGTTTGCCAAATTGTCTCAGTAGTTCAATTGCATCTGTTCCTATTTCTTGATTAATGAGGAAATGCAGCATACACAGAATAAAATGTTCTCCACATCTTGATGACCCTGGCCACAGTTTCATGTGGTAATCATTATGATTGTCCTTAATTTGGACATAATCAAGGATGATCATTTGTGGTAAATCAAATCTCAAAAATTACCTCATGGATATCACACTGAAGAGTCCAACTAAACACATCCTTTTCTATTTTCAGTAAACAAAAACAAAGTTAGCTTAAGGTATCAGTAAAACTGTATCACTTGCTTCCTAACAATCTTGGCCCAGCATAAAGGCATTGATGAAGGTACTTCTTGAAGGAGATGGATTTCATCAGTAAATATCCTTACAAGAAATGCCAGCTCTAAAAGTAAAGTCTCTTAAAGCATAAAAATGTCACCTTGAAGATGTCAGCCTAAAACCATTTGGACATAATTGTCATTTTTTTTCTAATCAAATCCAGACTAACTGGTAAAATATCCAAATCACATCTTAGGTATTAAAAAAAGATTTCAACCACAACCCGGCACCCCTCTCAGAATTACTGATTATTCTTTTAAAATGTCTGTGATTACATAAGGATAGTACATGTATTTTTAAAATTCTTCTGTAAGCTTGGCTATCCTACAATTACAAAACGAAAAATGCTCTTAAAAATAATTTAACACTTATTAATCAAAACATCAAATAAACAAAAACACTCAGGAGGAATGGGGATGTAATTTACGTACCTGGAGGATAGACCGTCTTGCGTGATCTCTCTTCTTTAACAAAATTCATAAGCTATTGACATAGTAATTCAACATTAATTATTATTAGCCTTTCAAGTCATAAATTTGTGGAAATAGATTAATCGATTCAATGCACACGTACTTTCTGGAAATATTCCTTGGTAAATTCCGCTGCCAAAGCTTTCTTCCACGTAGGTCCGAAGAACTGTGGACTCTTATTCGCGAGCAGTTTCTTCTGTGCCTCCTTTCGATTAGCTTCGATGCGAGCTCTTTGCTCTGGTGAGAGATTTACAGCCAGCCGCTTCGGGTTAAGAGGCGGTGAATTCGCATTTTCGTCTGTGCCTGCATCCTCATCTTCTGCCCTTCTTTTGATTCCAGTGCCAGAAGGACTGAAAAAGCTGGAAATTGTCTTCTGAGTTTGCATTCTTCTTTTACTCTTGTCTCAAACTACAATGTCGAATCTTTAATCGCGAATTAATCTGACTGATGGCAATACAGCAGGGCCTTGTTATTTTCCCGCCAAAATCATCTAATTTAGCAGCCAATCAAAGTACAGTTGTTGAGAGACCTGGAACCAAGAGTGTAAAGGCAATCCGCCATATTGGAATCACTAGTACAGGCTTGTGAAATGTTCCGAATCAAAAGTACAAGAGGGTCATTATTGCAATCGTTTGTAAACTTATCTCGACTAACATCCTCGAAGGTTTGTACTGTGGTGTTGCTTTTGTGATTGTAAGGTTAAAGAAGAACACACAAGGTGATTCTGCACCTGTATGATATGGAGAAATACTAGATCAACTTACTCGTGCTTTCTCCAACACGCTTTGTACATGTACCGTATATTGGCTTTTTGTAGGGTCGTTTGTCTTCAGCAAACAAATACTTTTATACACAACTAAGAAGATGTGAATCAACTACAGCAGGGTCCCCAAGGTAAGTGTGGTAGAACAGTCCACAGTATCGAATTAAGCTTTTTAAGTAATTTCAACGTGAAGTTTTGAACTATTGGTGGGGAATTATAATGGCGATAAATTCCACCACATTTTATATTTGCTTGGATAGTATTTACTGTATTTACCCTATTCAGAACATGTTAGGCAAAGACTGTAAATGTTCCCTTACTATGATGAGCTGATACTCTGTCAGAGAGGTAGAGTGTGGGGGTTGTTAATCATTGTGCCAACTGCTTAGTAGTAAAATTGAAATTTTCCTAATTTTTTAGAGAGAGCTTTTAAAAAATTGGCAGAATTGTGGAATAGTGTAGCATTTTGAAGTACAATTTCTCTATAAGCTAGATTCCGAATTCCATTTCCTGGGCAGCCCCTATAATTACCGACCCTAAACATATAAAAGTCTTTCCCAGGTGTGCAACCAGACATGGTACTAGCTGCAGGATGACCTACTAAGGAATTCCATTTCAGCACTTGAAAAAAAAAGTAATAACCCTCCTCTGGAACAAGTAGATTTTCAACTCAAGAAGCAACTTTCTCTGCCCACTTGCCTACCTTCAATCGAGTATTTAGTGTTTCACAAAAATTTGTCAAATTTCATTCTTCACTAGCAAGCACTTATAGATGTGTTGCCTTTTCATTCTCCACCAAACCCTCTATTTTCATTTGTGAATATGATAGGAGCTGAGGGAGCTTTGAACTTTTGTGTTAAGTTTGCTCAAACTAAATGTAGTGGGGAAATGACTTCTAAATACACTTAATAATTATGTTAGTTTACCTCTACCTTTTTTTAATTTTTCATTCTACAATTTGCTACACTTTTTATGTAGGTCAACCAAAGGCCTACCAGTTTGGAAAATAGCAGCAGGAGTAGCCTTAGCCAGTAGTGGAGGTGTGGTTGGAGCAGCTCTAGCCTTTCATTACAGCGCAGATGTCCGCACATGGTGGGCCACAAATTTTCCATATCTTGCACCTTATTTGGGTACCTTGGGTGAGTCCTTAACAGGGAGCAAAACGTCTCCAATTCTTGGTGGAAAAGTAAACAATACTTCAAGAGACCCAACAAAGCCTCATTCTTTCGATGAACCATTGAATCTTGGTGTTTCAACACATAAAGCTCCCCAAAAGGTAAGAAATATTATCTTAATTGTTCAAAGGATTCAAGCTCTCTTTTTCCACCACCTAATCCTCCATATAGATAAATGATTCCTTGAAAGGTTGGCTATATGAAATCATGAAAATTGGCAGCTTTATCCAGACAATTGTTCTATGTCTATTAAACTTTTTATTAGCATGTAGCAACAACATTGTTATGGTGCAATCCATATACAGTGTATACTTCAGCATTGTGTGCAGATCTCTAGACTTGAAGCACTATTCTAATTAAGTGCTGGTAACTCTATGTTTACTAGGATGCTGATCCTTCATCAAGAAAACCTGTGAAGCCTTTGGCTGGGAGTAAGGAACCAGTGGCATCTGTTTCATCAGTTGATCAAACAGGCATTTCTGCTGTCGATCTTGCAATTGCCAGAACAGTTGAAAGGGAAGTAAAAGAGAGTGCTAACTCAATAGAACCTAAGCCTGATGCCCCTCAGAATACAGTTAGTAAACCACCAAAGCCTGGAGGTAGAGGAAAAGCAGAGTCACCAACAGCTGCTGTGTCAGCTCTAGATCAAGTGGGTGTTTCTTCTGTGGACCTTGATATCTCATCTGCTGTGGAAAAGGAGGCTGAGCCTGCTACCACAGCCAAGGTACCAGAAGGTATAGGGAAACCAGCTGAGAAAGGAGAAGATACTGGATCTCATGAAATCAAAGGTACAAAAATTGACCACAGGAATTACATGTATGATCTTCTTCAATGATGATTACAGGGGGTATCTTAATACACACACATTTTTAAACTGAAACACTGCAATTGTTGTTGTGCTTTGGTTCAAAAATGTCTGTATATCAAGAAAAGTCATTAATTTTGGTACCATGGAACTCTATGTATAACAAACCACATCATACACAGTATGTGAACAGGTTCTCATTATTTCCTGGGATCTTAAAAATTATATTAGGAACACAACCATCAGGATTGCATCAGAGTTTGATGAAACATTATGCAAGTTTTAGATACATGTACTTGTATGCTTCTTGAAATCCTCAGATAGTCATGCCTTGGAAGGAAACATCTATAAATGTTGTTTACAGCCTTGCTTTTTCAGATAGTGCATACATACATGTAGGCAACAACCAGATGTGATTGCTTTTTGTAATGTTAAATCTCTATGCAAACAGTTACAACAATTGTTTATTAATTGACAAAACTAATCTTAACTTTTCATCAGTGGCACAGTTGATGTCCATCCTAAATTTTCCAAACCTAATATATCCACAAACAAAAAGAGTACTTAACCATTGATTAATTAAGGTATCTGTGATCACCAGTCTAAAATATTTGGGTAGGGAGGACTCTCAATTGGGTGCTTAATTTAATGCTTGTCCAGTAGGGGAGTACTGTACTTAATTGAAGGAATGCCTTTTGATGGAAGGTGCAAAGTCAAGGATTTACATTATATGTTTTTAAACTTGTTTACTGTTAGGTTTATCAACCAGTACAATAAGGGATGTAAACTTTTGAGGTTTTGTGGAGTGGTATCATTTGTAGTGGTAATGAAATGAGTAGAGTCCAATTCAGTCTGTAAAATCATACGAGTGATTAACAAAATCAGAGTCTGATTTGTTAATTATGAGTACGATTTCACACAATTGGATCAGGTGAGGTCCTGTTACCAATTGATCAAAGCTATGACAAATTTTCAGAAATATACTAGCCATCAGGTATACATTTTCATGGGGAAAAAACATTTAACTCTGCAAAATGCAGAGCAGCAGCATGCACAAATGACACTTACTGTCCAATTACACAGTCCAATAACAAACATAGCACACACTGACCTATTAGTGCTTAAATTGGGCTGCTGATAACCTTTCATGTCCGAGAATTATAGTTTTGTCCAACACTAACTGTGGTGTCTTGCTCATAAGTGTCTTTTGCTCAATTTGATTTTGCTACTCCGTGATCAAAAGAGGGTGTTTGAGGTCTCTCTCTGGAAAACAGTTTACTTACAATGTATATTTGTTAAGGTACATATTGTATCCCATCACCATTACTCTATTTATGTAGATGTGGACACAAGTCTTACTGAGAAGGAAGTTGAAGCCCTCATAGATCAGACTGCCATGGAAGCTATGGTTCATGATGCAGTGGAAAAGTTAAAGGGTATTGGTCAAGAAGCTATAGAGGCTCAGCAAACAGCTGGCAAAGCCATACAGGAACATGTTGAACAGCTCAAGAGTGCACTTGCTCAATCCCTTGAGGGTAGAACTCTTAAGGATCTTAGTGAATTGGTACTAAATTCTCAAAAGGCAGCCATTGACAGTGTTAATGCTGCCAAAACTGCACAGGTGATTAGTTTTAAGATAATGGTTTATGTTACTTTCCACAACCTTTTTACTTTCAAGATCTCAAGTTCATTTCTCTGTACCATCTGCTGTATCTTTCCTATGATTTCAGCTATAAGAATTTGGTGTTCAGTCAAACAAGTTTCTTAGATGATGGTCTTCTCTCTTCTCATAACCCCTCCACATGGCAATGTATTGATATTGTGATGAGAAATTACTTAGCAGTCACTCCTGGAAGTAAAAGGATTAAAAGACTCTTTGACATGATTCCTCATTTTTGGTGACTTTTGAATGTAAAAGTTACAAAATTGGCTGCTTGACGGAGATTATTAAATCAATCATTTGTGTCATTTTGGTGGTGTATAAAGAGGTCAATAAAAACAGATTTGAACAAAGCAATCACTGAAATTTGCAGGGGTGAACAAATATTTTGGAAGGAGAGAATAAGGAAAGCTAATGGTGAAGATTGACAGAGTGTAGATGACAATCTTGATAAAAACAGGCAAATTTTCTTAAGTGCACAAATTTCTATAATGCTCCTTTGAAGTTTCCAAATTTAATGTTTTTTTTTTTCTGCCTGCTTGCTTTGCTCTCCTTTGCTCTGTGATGCAAAAAGTGACAGGGTGGTGGACAGATTATTCGTGATTTTTACCGAGTAAAACCTTTTCCGAAAACAAGCCTTTCTTTCTTTGGTAGGTAAAAGTAAATGAAGAAGTAGAAAAGGTTCATTCTATTATCAAAGAAGCAGATGCTGCTGGGGTTAAAGGAGCAGGAACTACTGCAGCAGAAGAGGCAGCGAGGGTAAGTTACAGTGTGCAGAAAGCAGCGTTAGACGTGCAGAAGGCCAAGGCCGAGGCAGCAGTTCTGGAGGAACATCAGAAAGACTTGGCCAAAAGTAAAGATATGTTCAGGAAGGAGCTACTGGATATAATACCTGGTGCTCTGAAAGGAGAAGCTTTGGAAGGTGTTGGGGAGAAAGATGATAGGTAAGGTGTTCATGATACTGGTCCACTCTGTACTTCGTACATTTGTTTCCTGTCTTTATTTATATGAGGGTCATTCTGTTATTATTCAAGTTCTTTTAGGTAAATCAAGTTCTCTTGAGTGCTACTTAGACTAAAGTTTGGCCAAAGCGTCTCCTACCTTATAGTCTAAAGCCGTTTCGTTTTCGCTTTTTAGGTCTGAGTCGGTTCTTTTGGCATATGCTCGGAAAAGACTTGATCAGCTAACACAGGAGCTTGTCAGTTACCAGACTGAGGAACAAAAGAGGCTCGAGAACTCCCTTAAAATCCAACGAGAAGAGGACGCCAAGGTGACTGAACTTAGACTAAAACAAGAAGCTGAGAGAATGGTATCCGAATTTGAAACCACTCTGAAGAAGAAGGTAAGTACCTTGTAATGATTTTAGTGAAATCCGGTGAAGTGTTTTCCAGGTGGGGGGATTTGGAGTTTATTATGTTAGTATTGATATGACAAGAGCAATTTTAAGTCCATGTTCATGTAAGTTAATGCTCGAAGTAATCCGGAATTGCATAAGTTTTGCTTTGCTTCGTTCACTGCTTACTGCTGAACACTCGCTGCACCCTTACAACCAATTAGATGCAAAACAACTCACTACCTGGTCTCTCCCGTTTTCTTGCGTTTGAACCCTTAAAATCCTAACATCAGTATGCATATTCTTCAAGCTGTTTCTATACGTTTTCTAAGGTGCTTATATAGACAATTTGCTCAACAATCGAGTTTATTTGGTTGATGATCATTTGCTTTATTCCCGTGGCATTAATGTCTGATTCAGAGGTGATTTGGTAAGGAGAAATTGGTCATTCTTTGGAAAACCTTTGAGTTTTCAATGACCTGTGGTGACGTTTTTCCAGTCTCGCTTGGCTAGTATGGTAATTTTATTTTTTGCTTTTCGGCGCCCACTCGAAATGCGCATTTTACTAAAGAAATTAAAAAAAAGAACCCTGGTGGTTCAAGCTTGAGGAAGGTGCGCTTTTTATTTGATAAAGGCTTTACCCTTTAATCCCTGAGGGTGATTAGCATGTAATTTCTCCTTTCAATATCACACCTGAATCAAACATGAAGGTCATGAGAATAAAGGAAATGATAATCAACTAAGGAACCTCTTGATTATTAAACAAATTCTCCTTGCCAGCATATAAGGAAATGTATAGAGAACAGTATGGAGAATATGCATACTGATGTTAGGGTGTAAAGGGTTAAAGTACGATTACTTAGTCAAGTGGCGATGTGATTGTTAGCCCTTGTTTCTCTTAGGAAGCAGAGCTTTCAGCAGAATACGAGGTGAGCCTCCGACAGCAATTACGTCGCCAGGCAGCAGCATACAGTGATAACTTGGCTGAGGTTCTCCGTGTTCAGGCTACGGAACTAGAAAACAGGTTGGTTTTGCGAGAACGAGCTTCCTCAGCACATATTATGTCATCGGTTTTAAGTGTTCATCTTTCATCCTTTATCCTTAAATGGGCTGGTTAATTTAGAACGCTTGAATTACATCCCTCACCCCTCCCCCTCCCCTCGCCCTAGACTTTGTGTATGCACATGTTACGGGCTACATTTACACTTACCCTTTCTAATGCAACAGTGGCATTTTCTCAGGTATAAGGACGACTTGCAACAAAAAATGGCCATAGAAAAAGAGGCTTTTAAAGTGCAGTTAGCTGGAGCTCTTGCTCAGTTACGAGGTGTGGCATCAGTGATAGAGGGCAGAGCAGATGTTGAGAAACAAAATAAGCAGGCACAAAAGCTCTGGACAGCGTGTCAATCGTTGACTACAGCTATCGACAAAGGTGCTAATCAACCAAAACCGCTGCTGCCTCAGTTGACGGCCATTCACGATGCTGCAGCAGAGGATCCACTGGTCTCACAAGTTCTTAACTCTCTACCAGAAGAGGTTGTGTTAAGAGGAGTTTTGAACGAAGAGAATGTGACGCGTCGCTTTTACAAGATCCGCAGATGGTGTCGAAGAGTAGCCATGATAGGAGAGAACGGAGCTTCACCATGGACTCACGTGCTGTCATACATTCAGTCTTTCCTAATTTTCGATTCATTTGATCCCGTAAAGCAGGGAGAACTCGTAGATTTAGACAATTTGGACACTTTTGATCTCCTAGCGCGCGCAGAGTTCTACCTTCGGCATGGAGATCTGGAGCTAGCGACGCGATTGGTAAATCAGCTTCGTGGGGAGCCTAAAAATGTAGCGCGCGATTGGTTGCTGGAAGCTCGGTTGCTTTTGGAGACGAGGCAGGCTGCTAACTTGTTGACTGCTTATGCTGCTGTATTGGGAACAGCAGGGCTGGTTAATTAGATCTTAGAAGTACATTTATTTTTAAGGGACAATACAAATGAGTTGTCGTCAATAAGTAATGATTCCCTTCCAACTAATGATTCATTACCAACTCACGTCTTGAACTTCACCCTCTACTGCTTCTTTTTAAAATACGATTGGTGAAACAACACAGAGAAAGGGTAAGAAAGGAAAGAAGATTAAAAATGAACTTTTAAAGTCAGCCAGTCTACAAATTTGTGATATCCGTGTAGAGTGAGTTCAATGATGTTTCCTTTCATCCAAGTTTTGACCTAACATAATAACAAGCAGAAAACTAAAACTAATATGTTTTCGTGAGGCTGTAATTCTTTGTTGCTTTAATGTTATCGGTAAATCCATGAAATTAACATCTACTTGATTTACAATTTTAGAGTTAAAAGAATCAATGTTTTTTATTTTGTTCCAGTTCGTTTATACGAACGCTGACTATAAGCTTCAAGGTCGTCAATTCATCCCAAAATCGTCAGTGCTTTGAGACTCGGCTGTAGTAATTGACGCCGGTGATAAATACCACGCTGTCCGGTTTAGAATCAGCCGTAGCGTTGTTAAGTTGGCAAATCAGCGAAGCACGGGATGTCCGCTGTGTGTTCCTCGCTTTCTTTGCATTGACCTTTTCCGACCACATGTTAATGGATGAGCATTGTGGTAATCTTTGGCAGTAAAGAGCGCAATCAATTTCTGAGGAGACCATTAGCTCCTTTATTTGATGGTTGATTAACGCAATGTCTTTCTTGTGTTCTTTAAACAGCCCTTGCAGCTTGTTGTCGGCCATGCTGCTCATAGCATGTGGAGTTTCACAGAGTTTCGTCTGCGGGGATTGTGCATATTGTTGACAATATTCTATTGAGTGCGTACAATTAAACTCTCGCTGTTGAAAGCCAACGCCATATGATGCTGAGCATGCACTCCATTGAGACCAATGTCCCAATTCGAGCGAGACAGAATCAGCTGCAGCTGTAAAGTATCTTTCTGTATCTAAGAAGAGTCGAGATTGAGTTCAGAACTTATGGTTAGGCAGATTTTGTTTCACGGAACTAAAAGTGCAAACTTTATAGTGGAATACTTGTTAGGTCCGGAAAGTAATTTTATGTATTTTCACTCGCCCTGTTGACATGTTTTACCAGCTGACTAGCAATTCTTTCACAAGTAGTAGAAGAAGCTGACACTTCTTATTCTGTGATACGTTTCCATTTGGGTCCGAGCTAGGAAAGTCACTTTTAGACTTGTTCAATAGAAATTTCCTTGGGTTCACTTACTTTGTAAACGGCTGTGAGTAACAAAAATATTCGATGGAGACTGGAAAGCCCGACTATAAGCACAAATCCGAATGCCTAGTATCCCCCATCTATTTTGTTCTGAGAAACTGCGGTTCAGGGATAGGAGGAAAATAAAGACAAAGCAAAACAAAAAAAAAGAAAAAAAGTAGAGGAAATTAGCTTACTCATTCTCCATTGTCCAACAGTGCTTCTAATTTCCCACAGAAGGGATAGAAATATGAAATCCAGTTTGTTTAATTTCA